CAGAAGCTACACTAGAAATCAATGTTACTGCAGTCCCTGTCTGCTTTCCCCCAAAAACATTCTTCTGGGTTCATCTCCCTGCCTAGGGTCTTGCCTTATTTAGGACCTGACCCTGCACAAGAAGAGCTCCTTCTCATAATTAACAGGCAATTTCATCACCAACTGTCTTTGGTGGCAGCTAAGGACACACAGCATTCACTGGCAATTGTTCATTTTCTCAGAGGATTAAGTCTTTTCATCCTGCAAGCACCTGCTCCCCTCCTTAACTTTATGTGTAAAGCAGATGACTGCAAGTCAGGGATTCGACTGTGAGCCTGCTGATAATATGGCTACAAATGTCTTCAGAACAGGATTTGTCTAGAGTGTGAGCTCCAAAGAGCAAAGATGAAAGGCTCAGACTGTGCTTTTGGTTACAGCAATGTAAATAGAGCTATCTTGTGCTTATAAGGGCTGCAGCTGAGGGCAGAATCCCGTGTAGTCTTAAACTTCTCTATTAATTCGTCTGCATCATTGAGGAAAAAAAAAAAAAAAATGCTGCTGGTCTTACTTTTGTCAATATAAACTTAAAGAGAAGCTTAACTTTGCTGAGTTTGGTAGACTTACTTGGACTCAAGTCAGATGAGAGCTTCTGGGAAAGCTATGGTTAACTCCTGCTGTACTCTGCAGATCTTTCCCTGATGTAAACAGGACCTCAAGAGAAGAACAAACAAAAATAAGCATTTTAACAAATAGTACATATGTTTTGACTTGATGCAGAAGATTGAAGTTGGAGCCCAATATAAACCAAGGTAGTTGTACTAAATGGAGTTTTGTCAACTTGAATCAGCAGATGGTGACGATCTGGCTCATACTGTATTTTTGTAGTTTATAATTATCTTTCTTTCTTCACCTAGAACCAGATTCTCCCTTTAGGCTGCAAATCTTAATTAGGAAATCCTTCCTCATTAATTGCAAGAAACTCTTAGTCATTCATTTCACAGAAGAAAAAGAAACCTTACCTACTTCTGCTATAGCAGCAGATGCTGGAGCTGATTGTTCCTTTGCTTTTAGGGATGATGCTGTTTCTTTCCATCACAGTATGGAAGACACTTCAGTCCTTACCCTCTCTCTTGCTGCCCTGAATTTCCTTTACACTCATTCTTCTTTATCTCCATAGGGATCTCTGGACACTGAACGAGAAGGCCTAGGAGAGAACACCAACTCCAGTCACCTTCACCCCCACAGCTGCTGTAGCAGTGAATTTTTATCCATGAGAGCTGGATCAAAAGGAACAGGGCCAAACCAGAAAATTGCTCAAAAATCCCAAATTACAACATTTTCCAAACAGGAGCAGAATAGGAATTTTATCTTGGAGGTAAGTGCAGGAATCCACCAGTAATGTCGACTTTGAAGTATCGCAAAACAGCTCTTCATGCCTTTCGTGCTTACAGTCTTTTATGATGCAGTTGATGAGTTGCGGATAAAAAGAGGTGTCCTCAGTAAAATTCTTCCTTTCCTTCCTTCCCCACCTCCAAACAAGATGATTTCTGCCCTGTTCTGACTTGGTGCAAAACATCCTGTGGGAAAATTATTTGGAGAACTGATTGTCACAGAACAGTCAAGGGTTCAGGAAGGAGCAGTAGTGTCTTCCACAGCAAAACTATTTCCTAGTGAGATTGTTGAAAAGGAGTTTCTGGTTTTTTAATGTGATGCTTTAGCTCATATTCCTTGTCACCACATACCCAGATGATGGATTCACGGGCCAGTTGCCCCTCAGCTCCTTGACTATGAGTGCTCAGATTGTCCTTCACACACTCCCCACCTCTCTGTGTGCAAGGATATACAGATAAAATCCCTTCCCATCTCCTGGTTTGCACTCCTTGCTTTCAAATGCTGGTAACTGTCTGTCTGGAGCTGGACAGGACAGTTGTACATGATATAAGGTGATGGGATCATCTTCAGTAAGCAAAGAAAACAGCTGTAAAGATAAGGTACTAATATCTGAGAACTGAAAATATTCAACGAGTGCTTTTGCTTGTAGCCAAAGTCACAGGGTAGAGAGAAACCGTCTGGGAGGTTGTTATGGAAACAAGCCCCTGGAGGTGCCTGCTCTGCTTCACGAGGATGTGCTCTGCCTTCAGAAGGAAATAGCTAGACAGACAGACAGATTTGTATTTCGAACATCCAGGAGTGAGTGCTAAGAGCTGAGAACTTGAGGCAAGATTTTTGAAAGCATCTCTGTGATTTGGTGACACGAGTCCTCTCTAAAGTCAATGGCATGGGTGCCACTATGTCACTTCGGTCACTTGAAAAAAATCCAAAGGCTCCTTAATAACAATGTCAAATTCCAGAAGTTCTATAATATATAGTATTATTGATGACTCTGGGACTTCACTGCCTGGCTTTTCAGGCGATGCTTAGAGAAGGATTTACATGCCCAAATGAAAGTCCCTAGGTTACAGCTTCCAAGCTTCTGTTGGCTTTTTGTATTTCTCTTAGCTCTAACATGGAAAACCCAGGGAGCAAACACCACTCCTGTTTTACACATTTTCATTTGCACTTTCTTTTCAGAACTGAAAAACGTGGATCGCAAAAAACTGCACAAAGCTGTCTGTTTGCCACAAAGTTCCTTCACACCGGTGTTTTGTGTATGCATGTGCATGCGTGCAAGCATCTGTGTGCAGACAACACTCCAGCTAGAAACTCACTGCTGAATTTCACCTGAGAGCAGGAAATCTCTTCACAAAAGCGTCTCTGTAAGACACATTGGGATTATGCTACCAGTAACTTGCCTCACGTCTTTTTTTTGCCAGAGTCTCCATGCCCAGCCGTCTGTCACGCTGGTTGGGAGAACAACCTGTTCTGAGCAGGGAGGGCTCCTGCCTGGCAGGGGCAACAGGGTCAGGCCCAAGGGAAGAAACAAGCACAGGAATTTTCTGACGTAGGCTCAGTGTGTCTCATGCCTCCTCCCGTGCTTAACCTGAGTTTTTTATATCTTACTTTGGGGAAACTTTTATCAGCTGACACACTCAGGCATAAAATAACCCCAAACATGGGCATTCTGCTAGGAGACAGGAGCAGCCTTGAAACATCCCTCTTGAATAGCAGGTTCTTTTGCTAGTTTCTAGTGCCTCTGCTACAGCAACATAAAATTTGAAGAAGAGTCACTCTCTTGCACTCACAGAAAAGATTTCATTACAGTGACCCTGAAACACAACTAAGAACAACAGCAGCTTTTTACTGAATCAACTCAATGACCAAGACAACTTTTTACACAAAAATCAACAGAGATGCCACCTTGCTGATCCTTCCTCAGTCCCACTTATTCACCAGGATTACTTACCCACCGGCTGGTTACATGCTTCAAGGAATGCAGAATGGCTCCCAAGGCCCAGACCTTCACAGACATTTGCCTCAGTCCCGATGAACCAAAGAGGAATTAGGCACCTATGTATTCAGGGAAATTTCTCTCAGCTATAGAGCCCTCACCACACCACACTTGTGTCTCCCAGACTGACCTGCAGTAACCGAGACAAGTGGCATTCTGCTACTGACTTCAGCGAGAGAGAGAACAGAGGTTTTAATATAATGGTTGTGCGCTGACCCCGAGGGAGATCGGGGTACATTAAAAACCTTTGAGAAGACAATGGGACTCTGGAGAAATGCAGCAGTTAGGATTTACACAAACAACTTCTACCATATGATCAGGGCCCAGATGAGGAGGGGCCACAATAAAAGCACTCTAGGCATGGAGCCAGATCTCAAGACAACGAAAAACAAGCAGGGTAACAAAGATGCAAACAGATCCCATCTCACAACCAGTTCTATAGTCAATTCTGACTATATTAAAGTATACGCCTTTAGCATTCTTAGCCTTATGATTGAAAAGCATAATATATACATATACATAAAATGTATTCGATATATTTTGCATCTTGATATTATGTCTGGTTTACGTATTACATGTGTCACATGCAATATGTAGTACATTCTAATATGCATATCATACAGTACGATGCAAGGCATTAATGGCTGCCTTTGCTTTCATACACATGCACACATGTGAATGCAGAATATACACTTAGATTTAAAACAAGAAAGACTTTTCCTTGCAGGAAAATTTGCCAATAGAATCTGAAAGCATCCATTTCCCCTTCTCACCCACTGGCAGCATTTGAAACATTTTGAAGTTAGGTGTAAGGCAGAGCTGATGAAAAAAATGAAATTATCTGGGAAGCAAAATGTGCATCTTAAGATGCAAATCTCTGGTCCCCTGGCAAACCCAGCACTGCAGGCCAAGCTATGCATTTTACATTGCTAGCGTAAGTTGCTCTCACAAAACCTAGTGCATGCAAAAGACATTGCTGTGCCTTCTATCCATGAAATAACCAAGAACTGGCTAGATCAGTAATACAGCAAAAGCATCTCTTCAAGGCTAGCTGTTTCTCCCCTCATTTGAAAGGTTTGGGGTATGCTGTTGGGTTTGTGCAGATGGCTTAGGGAAGTTTGTATCCGTGCCAATCTCAGTCTCAAATGTTGACACACTTTACCCTGGGGCAATTTATGCCTGTGACCTGCTAAATCAGTGCCATCTTCAGACAGCACAGGTGCAGCTGTCTGCGGTCAGGGTTTTTCAGCAATGTCAACAAAATACCAACATGCAAACTTCCCTTAGCTATACAAACGCTTCAGTAAAAACGCAGTGGAGTCAATTGCTCTCACATGCCTGAATACAGAACTGGATATCTGAAGCATAAAGTACATCTCATTAAACGCTATTGTGTGGAGACAAACTGCGGAGATAACAAATGAATTTACTCAAATGCGCCTTGCATCAGAAGGCACTTACCACTATGAAGATTAAGTTGGTATGATAAAAGCCAATTAACATCAGGGCACTGGCATAAATAAGGCTGAAATAAGCTCAAAACATAGAGAATCTTCACCAAGCCTGTTGATTTCTTTAAGCCTGTTTTTGATAAATGGTCACAAGTCGCAAAGAGCTTTTAGATCTATGCACCTTTTTTGAAACATAAACCAAGAGGATCTTTAGCATGCCAAGGGTTGCAAAGAAGGCAGGCATCTGCTTGCTGACTTTCCCCTACAGCTGCAGAACTCACTGTGATGCTGGCTACAGCGTTTCCATTATTCAAAGGCAATGGCATGGCAGGCGTGACTGATCCCACAGCCAAGGGTACTGCGCTGGCACAGGAACTAAGGGCACAGCTTGAGCCAGATGTTTGTAGCCCCTTTAACTGTTTACTCCCTGCCGAATCCTTCAGCTGAAGTAGTGGCAAGGGCTTCTCTGCTAGTGGAGTAGAAAGGCTAGGTTTCAGAGCAGATATTGGATTAAAGCAGTCTTCAGGGAAACAAATTCACGAGGGAGTGGGGGATGACAGCTAGCTCTCCACGGAATAAAGCAAGAACATTTCTGGCTGCACACGGTAATGAGAAACAGCAAATCAGGACAGAAGAGCCCATTATCACAATCATTCTGTTTACAATTCACAGTCTGGCATGTAAATGCTGAATAGATCCAGCTGCTAGTAGGAAGACGGCTGTGCAGCAGCTTGCAGCTCCGTGTCTGGACCCAGGATAACAAAACTGATCACACCTCTGTCAGCATTTTCTTCTCTTTATAACCCTGGTTGTTGGGAGGAATGAAGTTGGAATATTTCATGGACTCCAGATCTTCTGCTTCCAGGAATTCAGATTTGCTGAGAGACTGATTACTGTCCCCCTTCTTGGGCTCAGAGAAGGGTGACTGCTGCTGGCCGCAGGTGACGTGGGTGTACTGGCACTGCTCTTCATGATCAGTCTCTCGGTGGTAGAAGTAGTTGAAGTTGGACACGATGACAGGGACAGGGAGGGCAATGGTGAGCACACCCGCGATGGCACACAAGGAACCCACAATCTTGCCACCAATTGTCATGGGATACATGTCCCCATAGCCCACGGTGGTCATGGACACAACTGCCCACCAAAAAGCATCAGGGATGCTGGTGAACAGGGAGTCGGGGTCATCAGTCTCTGCAAAGTAGACAGCACTGGAGAAGAGGATCACCCCAATGAAGAGGAAGAAGATGAGGAGGCCCAGCTCCCTCATGCTGGCCTGGAGAGTCTTCCCCAAGATCTGCAGCCCTTTGGAGTGCCTGGAGAGCTTGAAGATCCTGAAGACTCTGACCAGGCGGATAACTCTGAGGATGGCCAGGGACATGGCTTGCTGCTGGCCCCCGTTGTTGCTGCTGCTGCCGGGCTGCTGCTTCTGCTGCTGCTGCTGAGCCAGCTCAGTGCCCAGAGTGATGAAGTAGGGGATGATGGCCACAATGTCGATGATGTTCATGATGTTGCGGGAGAACTCGGGCTTGCTGGGGCAGGCGAAGAAGCGGACGAGGAGCTCAAAGGAGAACCAGATGATGCACAGGGTCTCGATGAGGAAGAAGGGGTCGGTGAAGAAGGGACCAGTGCCAGCGGTGGGGCGCAGGGGCGGCGGAGTCCCACTTGGTAGTGGCGGTGGCAGGAGCAGCGCCTCATCGCCAG